TGTTGGGAGTGCAAGTACTACAGTCACATTGCAATTGTGTTTCCAGACGATACATTTTACAAAATTCCAGTTACTGAGAAGTAAGTTCTGTTTCAAGGGGACAGAAGATGAAGTAAAGCAGATGAAGAAATATCCCAGTTCTGTACATACTGTCAAGAGCTCTGCTTGGGGCCCCAAAGAAAAAGGAATTTATTGACAAGAAATGGTTTTTAAATATGCAAAAACCCTAGAAGAATGTGCAGTGTTTCTGAATGGATAATGAATGCGTGATGTAAAAAGCATGTTTGCCCCTGATTGGTCCAGAACTGTTCTTCTGGGAGAGGGTTACAAGAAGAGAGGGTCCAGTAAGACCTATGAAAATTAGCATTGAAAAAGGGGAATACAGGCAACCCCTGCTTAGTGCTCTTAGTTGGTTCCGAGAAAACCAGGCATTAAGTGAAACCAAAAGTATTTGATGACCCAAAATGATGACCACAATTATTTTTAAAGACCCACGATGGCAATCACAAGTGTTATAGCAAAACTTGCTGAGTGCTAAGTGAAACCAGGTATCAATTTAAAACGAGTAATATAGTGAAATAGTGCTAAGCGTGGGTTGCCTGGAAGCAATTTTTTCTTTGCTTCTCTTCACTTTGAGTTCAAAAGTAGCCCTAAAGGAAATTTGAAGAGGGACAAATCCAAAAGATTTGCTTACTTTAAGACCCTACATTACAGGATCTCTTCTTAGTGAGATACATTGGTTGGGCTAATTCTATCACTGTTCTGCCATCAGGAACAAAACTGATTTTTTAGCTGCCCTCAAAGACAATAGCTGAGATGTGGACTATATCTGTAGCTGAGACTTTGACTGCATGGTCTCATCAATAAGTAATCATGTTCTTCTGTGGATGCTGACCTACATTTTCATTAAGGTAAGGTACTCAGAAAACATGTTCCTGGGTCTAAGAGATTACAGCCATTTGTACATCATAGCAGAAATGCATTTAAGTAGTATAGCAGGATTGTTAGGAAAATCAACATACCAAGATGTATCCATGACTAACCAAGAGTCAAGAATTTCTTAGGCTGATATTTTTTTATTTGACTAATTCCATATTCATAGATTCATAGATGCTAGGGTCAGAAGGGACCTCAACAGATCATCTAGTCCAACCCCTGCCTGGGCAGCAAAGAGTGCTGGAGTCAGATGACCCCAACCAGATGCCTATCCAGCCTTCTCTTAAAGACCCCCAAGGTAGGGTAGAGGACCACCTCTCGGAAGCCCATTACTTACTGTGAAGAAGTTTTTCCTGATATCTATCCTAAATCTGCTCTCTGTCAGTTTGTGACCATTGTTCCCTGTTACCCCAAGAGGCACCCTGGTGAACAGAGCATCTCCGATCTCTTGCTGTGTCTCCCTAATGAATTTGTAGGTGGCCATAAGATCAGCTCTCAGCCTTCTCTTGCGGGGGCTGAAGGGGTCCAGGTTACTCAGTCTCTCCTTGTAAGGCTTGTAACCATAGAAGTGGCCCTTCTCTGCACCCTCTCATGTCTATCAACATCCTTCTTGAAGTACAGTGCCCAAAACTGGATGCAGTACTCCAACTGCGGTCTGACCAATGCTGCATAGAGGGGAAGTATCACTTCCTTGGATCTATTTGTCATGCATCTGTTAATGCGTGATAAAGTGCGGTTAGCTTTGCTGATGATTTCGTCACACTGACAACTCATGTTCATCTTGGAGTCCAGTATGACTCCAAGATCCCTTTCCACTTCTGTGCTGCTGAGAGGGTCACTTCCCAGAGCTTGTAGATGTGCTGGATATTTTTGCGCCCAAAGTGCAGCATGCTGCACCTGTCCTTGTGGTACTGCATCCTATTGTGTACTGCACTGTACTGCACTTTTCTAACCTGTCCAGGTCTGCCTGCAATTGTTCCCTATCCTCCGGAGTGTGCACTTCACCCCACAATTTAGTATCATTGGCAAACTTGGACAGAGTACACTTCACACCCACATCCAAGTCACTGATGAAGAAAATGACATCCATCTCTACTCCTGCATCTAAGCATTTTGTGACCCTGTCATAAAACAAAACCAGATTGGTCAGGCATAATCTACCTGCTACAAATCCATGCTGGTTTCCCTACTGCCTTGTTTTTCCCCCCAGATTCCCACAAATATGATCCTTCATAATCTTTTCAAAGACCTTTCCAAAGATGGAGGTGAGACTGACTGGCCTATATGATGAGATATAGAGTTAGATAAGCATCCAAATACAAGACATTCTTCATCAGGTCACTGGAGTGGGAAAAAACATTAAAGCTTCCCTCTAGCCAGGAGAGAAATGAAGCTTGAGCCGCTGCATATCACAATTTTCAGTCGCTAGGGATAAAATATGCAAAAAAAACCCCGATGTGGGGGCCACTAGATTAATTTCTAAATGATGGTGTCTTGGGTTCCCATGAAGGCGACAGAAAGTTGGAGAGAGCAAGTGGGGGAGGTTGCCTTTCATGTAGAGAGTGCTGTGGTTGACACCAATCTCTTGTAACCAGGATGTGTGTTAACTTCCTGTCTGATTTTTCTAAGATAAGGGGGCAAAAAAAACTGGAGCTTTCAGAACTTGTCCTTTCTTGAGAGCATTGGAGGTGCCATGGAAAGACAAGGCCCCAGAAATTCATTAGGTAAGCAGAATGAAGTGGGTGGAATCTAAGGCAGGACAAGACCGGAGTTGTTGGCAGGGTGTATTTTGGATGTGATGCCTCAGTCTTGGATATGTTGTTCAGACTTACCCAGGCAGCAGAGGGTAGATGTTGCAAATTTGGCATTAGGTCACATTCCTAGCCCCTGGATCCCAGGGGGCACACAGGAATCAATCTGACCCTTGCAGTAATTTAGACTATCCCCAGGCTTTCCCTGATTTAGGTTTGGCCATTCCTGGCCCAAGGGAATCATTGCAGAATGCTGAAATAGTTGAGTGTCAAGCGGCAGGCATGTATTCCTTGGACAAGGAGTAGGGTGATGTAGAAATGCTATGCAAGAGGCAATTGCCTGTTGGCTCATTAAGCCAGATGTCTGTAGGACTATAAAATTGTCACTGCTGGACATTGCAGTGACAATAGAATCATAGAAAGTTAGGGTTGGAAAGGACCTCAGGAGGTCACATCTAGTCCAACCCCCTGCTCAAAGCAGGACCAGCCCCACCTAGATCATCCCAGCCAAGGCTTTGTCTACCTAGGTTTTGAAAACCTCCAAAGATGGAGATTCCACAACTTCTCTGGGTAACCTCTTCCAGTGTTTTACTACCCTCCTAATGAGAAAATTCTTCCTAATAGCTAACCTAAACTTCCCTTGCTGCAACTTCATAGACATAAATAAGAACTTGAGACGGTGACTCCTTTTTCTATCATCTGCCACCACTGAGAACAGTCTAGTTCCACCCTCTTTTGAACCCCCCCTTCAGGTAGTTTTTAAAAATCAGGTAGATTTATTAAATCCCCTCTCAGTCTCCTCTTCTCTAGACTTAATAAGCCCCGTTCCCTCAGCCTTTCCTCATAAGTCATGTCCCCCAGTAGGAATGAATAGTAGTGCATCATTTTTATTTGTTGCAGGTTTTTTTAAATCTGCCCAAATGTCTGGGATTTCCCTTTGCTCCACTGGTGGAAACAGGGGGAGGGTGATTGGAGGCAGTAGGGAGCACACAGGGATCTGCCTGGAGCTGCAGACCCCAATGGTGCTCCTCCTGGCTCCAAGCGCCTCCCCCTGCTCCCATCCCCCAAGCACAGCAAAATCCTGGAGATTTGGTCAGGGCAAGGGGAGCAGGGGCTGCAGGTGTGACAGGGTAGGGGGTGGGGAAGGGTTGCCTGCCCCTCCAGTGGGAGAAGGGGGTAGGGGTGGGAGCAGCGGGGAGCTCCATGACTGGGCAGCAGCACAGGTGCCAGTGCGGAGGGGCTGAGCAGCCACTAGGTGCTGCCTGGGGGGAACAAAGGAGATGGGGAGGAGGGGGAAGGAATCATGGCCAGGCTGCCCACAGGGCACTGCAGCCCTATCCCAGGGCGGGAGTGCCACAGGGCCCCCTCCTCTTCCCTCCAGCCTACACTGGGGCCAGACATGCTCCACTGCTGCCTGCATGAATTGGAGACACCGCGCTCCGGCCAGGGCAGGACAGAGAAAGCTGGTGGCCCTATGACAGAGCTTGGAGCAGGGGGCTGTGGGTCAGGAGTGAGGGGCACCAGGGTTGGGGCAGGGGCTGTGGATTGGGAATGTGGGGGGCACTGTCAGTGCCAGGGGACTGTGGGTCAGGAGTCAGGTGCACCATCATGGCCCAGGGGGCAGGGTACTACAGTCTGGGGAGTGAGGGGTACTGGCAGGGCTGGGGTCACTGGGTTGGGAGTGAGGGGCAGCTGCAGGGCTGGGGGGGCTGTGGGTTGGGAGTATGGGGCACTGGGGTGGGGGACTGTGGATTGGGAATGCAGGTGACTGGCAATGCCAGGGGGCTGTGGGTCAGGAGTGAGGGGCACCAGCAAGGATGGGGAGTGGGGGGCTGCGGGTCGGGAGGGAGGAGCACTGGGGTAGGGGTGGGGGCTGTGGGTTGGGAGTGCAGGGGGCACTGGCAGTGCCAGGGGGCTGTGGGTCAGGAGTGAGGGGCACCAGCAGGGCCCAGGGGGCAGGGTACTGCAGTCTGGTGAATGAGGGGCACTGGCAGGGCTGGAGTCAGTGGGTTGGGACTGAGGGGCAGCAGCAGGGCTGGGGGGTTGTGACTTGGGAGTCAGGGGCACTGGGGTGGGGGTGGAGGACTGGGTTGGGAGTGCGGGGGCACTGGCAGTGCCAGAGAGTTGTGGGGCAGGAGTTAGGGGCACCAGCAGGGATGAGGGGCGGCGGGCTGTGGGTCAGAAGTGAGGGGCACCAGGCTGAGGCTGGGGGACCATTTCAAAAGTAAATATTGGTATTTCCTCTCTCAAGTGATTTTCCTCCTTGGATGGTTCCTCTCTTGGCTACCAGAGTGCATCCAACAGACAGACAACATGGGTAAGTTCCCCACCTGGCAACATGCCGTACGGGGCGACATGTAGGGGGTGCACGCAAGTGCATGTGCTCACGTGCACCCCCTGAGCATGGCAGTGCACCCCCTGGACACTGTTGGTGGTGCCTGTAGGCGGTCGCCGCTTGCCACCCTGCTGCCTGCACCACTGGCGGCATCTGCAGACAGTCCACAATTGCCCCTGGCCACCACCGATGCTGCCGGCGGCACCTGCAGGTGGTAGCCAACCCCTGGTCGGTGCTGCCCCCTCTCCCACCTCCGCTGCCAACAGTGCCGGTGTTGTCTACGGGATTTCTGCACTTACTGCCATCGGGCTCCTGCCACCACTGTGCTCCAGCCGCTGCCAGAACAGCCATGCCTCCCCAGCCGCCGTAAGCACAATGCCATAAGAGCCCCACACTGAAAAAAACATCTGCTATGAACCAGTATTTAGCTTGGCACCTGCACCTGAATGGAGAAGTGGGTTAGAGCATCTGCGCCTTTGGCTTGCATATGTGGAGAGAGGTGAATCTTGGTTTCTGAAGAGAAAACCGAGCAACTGTGCTTCACCAATTCTAGTTGTTTGCCAGTTGGCTTCTGTCCTTTGCATAAATTCCTCCTGCTTTGATGTCTCACTGAGACATCCAGTGGTGTTGCTAGGTCACTGGTGTAGGCTTGGGGGAACTGACAGCAACAGGAAGACCTTCAGGGCTGGATTTGTAGGTGTGGAGAGGTTTGGGGCTTGTGACAGCAGCAGGGCTGTTAGGGGGTGGTACACCAAGGGCTGAGCTATCAGGTGACTTCACAGCGATGTCAGCAGAGCTTTTTCTCTGGACACTGGAGGTCCAACTCATGTCAGTGCAAGTGGATGAATTGCAATGGATTTTCTTGGCAATGGGAAGGAACTGGGGTCTTCTCTTATGTTGCAGATACTAACAAATGTGGGACACCTTGGCAGGTGGTTTGTGGGGAGAAAGCAGCCTGCTTCAACAACTCTGGAAGTTACTACTGCCATTGTATATCAGGATTCAAGTCTGACCCTGGGAAAGAGACGTTCATGGAGGCCAGTGACAACACTTGCCGAGGCAAAGACTCCCTGCTCTACCCCTCTGCTTGGCTGCAGCAGAGAGGCTGAATCCTGCCCTCTGGCCAGCCAGGGCAGATGAGACTAGTGTCTCATCTTCTCCCCCGCCCCCCCCTGTATTTTCAAGTTGTTTCCTTACCTTCAACCTAGGGTACTTTCCCTTGGGAAGGTGCTGGAGTGACAGCCTTTTTGCGGGACTTTTTTGTGGACTTCTCAGGTCCCTGGACACTTCAATTCCATCTTCTGTATTGCAGATGTCGATGAGTGTGCAACGCCTGGGCAAGTGGATTGTGGAAACCATGCAGACTGCCACAATGAGGTTGGACGTTATTACTGCAGCTGTTCACCAGGGTATGAGGCTTTTCCTGGGCTAGAGGATTTCAAGGACTTCTATGAAAACACCTGCGAAGGTAAGGATCCCCATCCCCTCCCCTCGGTCTGACCTGCATTCTGCCTGGAGAATCAATTGGAATTAGAATTGTTCTTTGCCAGGATATGCTTCTGTCTGGTAGGACAGTCCTGATCAGTCCTCTGGGGGTTTGTTCTGGCAAAAGACAATATGCTTTTATGCTTAAATGCTCAAATGCTTTTACAACTATGAATTTCTGTTTACAATCTCTGGATTTATATTGTGAATCATGTCTGCAAACCTAAGAGTGCTAATTTTGCACCCTTAAAAGGATCTCAAGGAACCCTAAGGTGCCATGGCATCCTGGTTGAGAACCACCACTCTAAACAGCCTTGCATCAAGGCTTGAGATAGAGAGTACTGGTGACAGAACAGATGTTCCCCCTAGCATTGTGGACTACTAGAAAAGTAGCAGTTTACTCCTGCTATAATGGAAATTATCCTTTCAGCTCACACTTGAGTTGAAATACATAGGTTAAAGCTTTGTTTTAAGAACCCTGATTCTCTTCCCAGAGGTTGATGAATGTAAGAGATTTCCCAACATCTGTGGGCAGTCAGCTCAGTGCACCAACACCAATGGCAGTTACCACTGTGAGTGCAAGACTGGCTATATCCCTTCAACTGGCATTGGGAACTGGATACAGAACAAGACCATGTGTCAAGGTAAGTTTTGCATCAGCAGGCAAAGGTGTCTGCTGACAGCTATGCTACGTGCAGAGTAGATAAAGGTTATGCAGAGGAAGAGAAGGGGGAGAGGGAAAGAAGTATATAAACTTAGGGTGGAAAAAAATGAAGTGAGGCAGAGAGAGAAGAGGAGGGGAATTTTGCAGTGGCCTTTGAGTTGGCATTGAAGCACTGACATGCAGATAGAAATCATCAGGACTGGGGAGGGAAGGGAATTATCCCGAGTATAAGCCAATGCAAAAGCTATAACCTTTGCTCTTATATTTCCCACATTAGAACCCCCCACCTTTAACTGCAGCACTGAATTTGAGGGAGCCGTAGAGTCGTGCAGGAATCGCTCTCTGCAGGTACATTTTGCACTATTTCCTAGTTGGTCAGGGTTTCGCCTTGTGTTTGAACCAAAACTGCATTAAGCCCTAGGTGGAATTCTTTGTCATGATATGCATTGCAGTAAGATCTAGAGAAATCAGCAACCTGTTCCACATACAAAGTACCCGACTCTCTTGCATTAAAGAGCTTGCAAAATAAAAAAGCAGAGGAAGCTGTTTTATCTACTGTTTACTGAAGAAGAAGGCAGGAAGAAAAGAAGAGATTATCACTAGGGCTGTGCCAGTCTTCGAACTGTGCTTCGGATCCGGAGAAGCTTTGGACACTTTGACGTCCAAAGCAACATGTCCAGATCGAAGCACTGGCTTCCTTAGGCTTTCTGAAGCAGTTCAGAGCTTCCGAACCGCTTTGGAAAACCTTCGGAGCCCCTTTGGAGATCCGGCCATAGGGCATATTGGGGAATCAATGAAATATCTATAACCCCTGCACCACTCTTCTTGAAACTTGGCAGACTTTATGGTCCCAGCAGAGGCTACCACTCCTGCAAGTTTCATTCACATCAGACAAAAAACAACAAAGATATAGATATTTCATTGATTCCCCAATATGCCCTATGGCCGGATCTCCGAGGTGGCGCCAAAGCTTCGGAGCCGCTTCGGCTGGATCAAAGTGAGAAACCAATCTGTAGCTCCAGATCGGATCCCTGGTATCTGAAGTGGCCGGATCCGAAGCCAGATCAAATAGCTGCCTACTCGCACAGGCCTAATTATCACATCCCTGCACACACAGTGAACCCTGACAAAGGGAAGTGAAGTCACTCTGGCCTTCCCCTGCAGCTGATCTTGGCTGCATTAAACAATAAATTGCAAGAGCTGCTGTAGGGTTGTGGCCAGAGTGGATTCATCGGTGCATTTCCAAGTGTCATGCCTTCAAGCAAGAGAGGGTCGGTGGAGCACGCTAGACAGCATCTCTCGTGGAACACCAGGATGTGGCCTAGTTGGTACCCAGAGCTCCTGAGTCCTGATTCAGGAAAATCAGAATTACACTGAAAGAAAGCACAAAGGCTTCAGTAAATTGAAGTGCACAGTTAAAACACAGAAGTGATATATACACTGTCTCTGTAATGAGGCCAACTCTCTAGCCTTGTTTGTTCCTTTTGCAATTGGGCCCTGATCCTTAAAAGTTTAATCACATGATTAATTCCAGCAGGATCAGGCTTCTTTTATGTGTCTAAGTGAAATAGCAATGGGAAGTGTTGCTTCAGTGTCCACAGAAGAAGCCCCTGTCTCACTGTCTCTCCACAGAGAGGGCTGAACAGCAGCAACAGGGGACTTTGCTCTTTCATTATTTTGACTTCAGAGATATTGGCCTCTACATGCGAAGGCAGAACAGCAGTGTCCTCGCTGGAGGTAAGAGTTTTTTAACTTCTGGGTGTACCCTAGAGCCCTGTGTGGCATTAGCAGCTACATGTACACAGGCATGAAGCTGCCTGTGTTTGTCTGCACTCTATCTATAGTGGCCCACCTGCTTCAGTCTTTTCTGACTTGCAGTAGTTGGAAATACTCAGACAGATCGAGTGGGGCTCAATCTTCTAGTCCCACAGGCCAGATGAGTGGCATGGGCCTGGTTTGTGGGTTGGATCAATCCTTGCACCAGTCGCTTGTGCTAGGATCAGGCTCTGCACTGTCCCCGCCCAACAGGATTGGGCCCCATGTACTGGGATCAGATCGTGGGACCCGTCCATACCAGGACTGGGCCCCTTGTACACCAGAACTGGGCTCCAGGGCCCCATGCTGCCCCACACATCCTTGCATGCCAGGATCGGGCCCCAAGCCACCCTGCATGCACAATTCCAGCATGCCAGGCCATGCTACCTGGCCCTCAGGGTTCCCTGTAGGTCAGGAAATTGGGCGGCAGGGGAGTAGTGCTACCACTCTTCCTGCCTCCAAATTTTCAAACCTGTGGGAAATTCCAAGAACCGGATCACCCAGCGCTGAGGGCTGGATCTAGCACATGGGCTGGGAGTTGAGCACCTCTGGACTAATCCAATAGGGAAACCTACCCATACCCAACCTCCCCAACCTTTTATTTATATTCTCTAGGGAAATATAAAGATATTATTTTTAATTTCCCAAAACAATACAGATGTTTGTCGTCTCTCAGCTTGAAGCGATGCTTCTCAGCCAGCATTCAGTGAGCTGCCTCAAGATCCTTTTCAAGGGTGCCACGGGGTGCCACATAATGTTAGCACTTTTAGGTGCACAGACGTGATTCACAGGATAAACCCAGAGACCACAAATAGAAATTCATAGTTATAAAAGCTCCGAGCTGTTGTGGCCTTTGAGTCCTTTGCAATGCGGTAAACCCAGAGGTCGCCAATAGGAATCCAGTGTTAAAAACATTCTGCCCTGCTGTGGGCTGAGTTCTTTGCAACAGAGGAACTGCTCTAGTGTTTTGCCTGTGGTCAAAAAATGAGTGAATAGTAAGAGCTGGCATTTTCCCCGGGGGCGTGGGTGGAGTCTATTGAGGAGCGCTCTGAGTCTAAAAAAGGTTGAGAAGCACTGACTTCAAGCATAATTTCCCTACGAAACATCACTGCTCCCTGGGAACATGAAGGATCTGTGCCAGGAAAGTCCAGACTCCTTATCAGCAGGGTGTTTTTTTTCCCCCATCCCCAGGAAGCAAATCGCAGTTTCAGTTCCCTCCTGAACTGTACCGCTCTCGGGACCAGCAAGGATGAGGGAGAGGTGGCATTAGCTGTGATGCTCCTGCTGCAGAGTGCAGAACTGATGGTGCTGGCCACAGCGCTGAGCTCTCCAGAGGCAAAGATGCAGAGCATAGCAACAGAGTCTATGGGTGAGGCTGTCCTGTGGCGCCCATTGGCCCCTGCTGACTGCTGTGATTAGAGGCTTCCACACTACAGTTATGCAACCGCCCACCCCTTTCTCCATGAATAATTGCTGGGTGTTAGGATACATTGGCAGCTGCCTCAGAAGGCTTTAAATGCACGTTGGGCTGCTTGCCCTTGTGGGAAGCAATACTGAGCTGATTCCCTCTGACCAACATGCTACTTCCTCTGCAAGAGACACAGGGCTGGGAGCTGTACAGCAGGATCTCTTGGGGCACAAAGCATTGTGAGACAGGGAGAGAGATGCAAAACCCCAGTACCCAAAGGGAAAAAACCAGAAGATCCAGTATCCCAGGCAGAGCAGTGGCAGGGAAGAGACCTGGTCTGCAAGGAACAGGAAAGTGCATTCACGGAAGCTCTGCTTCTTTCTTCCCAGCTTTTGAGACCCGGCTCATCACAGAGAACTGCAGCCACGAGAGTGAGATCTTTCATCTGAGAGCTCAGGGGCAGATGATGGAGATTCACTGCAGTACAGTCAGCAAGGCCACTACACAAGGTACCAAGCTGGCAATGGAGATGCAGATGGAGCACACCAGCATCTGAGGCTGTCCAAGACCAAGACCATTTCCCTGTTAATAGTGCTCCAAAGCCCAGTCTCACTTTTCTCATTCTCTGCGGATCCCCCTGGATTGGGCCATGACATCTATCTGAGTCAGTGGTCCATGTTGGCAGAGCTAGTAGTTCTCAAGCTATGGTCCATATAACTAGACAAAGGCCTTCATTCTGGGCAGTCTCACTCCATAAGAACTGTCCAGGGAGGAGATGGGAGGGTCACATCACATAAAAGTGATCCAGAGAATGGAAAGATTTGGGATCCATTGACCCACCATGATGCTCCAGCACTGAGCTCAGCTATGCCCCAGTTGCCTATAGAAGGCCCATGAAAACAGGCTGATATGACCTAACGGGCTGGTAGCTAATCTTCCAGGACCGTGGCCAGCCCCACAAGGCCATCTTCTTCTCCTGTACTTACCCATGCACAAGATAATTTCCCTTTAACTTCTTCCCTCCTGTAAAATAAATGCTCTTCTAGGATAAGGCAAGGGGGAAATGAAGATGACTGGTTAAAAGGTGGGGAAGTTCCTGGGTTCTGTTTCCAGGGGTTTCACCAACCTACTGGTTAATGTTGGGCCCCTGATTTGCTGCTTGTTCTGGTTTCTGTAACAAGAAGGTATTACACATCCATGCAGGTGTGGGAGCAGCTGTTTTTATTTCTTACTCCACCCTCGACTCCATCATGAATGTGGGGAACCAAAGCCCTAGTGAGAACCTGGAGAAGCTTCACCTGAACTCCAGGGTGGTGAGCAGCGTTGTTGGAGATGGGACACACACTGGTAACCTTTCCAGACCTGTGAACTTCACCCTGTTGCATAAACGGGTAGGTGGAGTTCCCCTTTCTTTTAGACCATTCTGGGGCCAGTTGGAAGGGGCATCTCTGGATGAGGATTTGGATTGTGTTGCTTTTCGGGGCCCTCTGAAGTTCTACGCAGAGGGACCATGCTTGTCCCTAACCCATGGGGGAGCTGATGGAGAGTTTCACCATGTCACATTCTATTGCATGTAAAGTACTAACCAGTCACAGCTCTGCCCACCTGGCCCCTAGATGGAATAATTCAGAGAAGCTTCATATAGACGGTGAAGCTCAGAGCCTGTGGATGAGTGGCAGTAGGACTTCTGCCTCTTTCCACAACTTTCCCACAGCAGAAGGATCCTGGCTGTCTTTTAACTGCCACCCAGAAGTCCTGACTGAGCTCTGGGCATTGCATGGAGACAGCCCTGGATGCATTGTTGCGCAGTATAGATGTGTGACAAGAGGCGGTATTCTCTTTGTGATGCCACGAAGTGTGTTCATGCTTCCAGGCAACGGCCGAGGATGAAAATGCTTTCTGTGCACGCTGGAAATTCATTGCTGGAAAAGGCGTCTGGTCTCTGGGAGGCTGCTCTGTTCTGCACACCAACAGCACTCACACAGCCTGCAGCTGCAGCCACCTCTCTACCTTTGCCCTGCTCATGGCTACTGCCCCTGTGGAGGTATCTCTCTTGGCCCACAAATCAAAGGCTGGGCCCTGAGCTCAGCATTTGCTCAGTCCCACCTCAGGCAAGCTCCTTCTGAAGCCTTTCTCTGAGCATGAGTGGCATGGGCCTGGTTTGTGGGTTGGATCAATCCTTGCACCAGTCCCTTGTGCTAGGGTCAGGCCCTGCACTGCCCCCGCCCAACAGGATTGGGCCCCATATATGGGGAGCATGTCCTGGGACCCCTCCATACCAGGACCAGCACCCCTGTACACCAGGACTGGGCTCCAGGGCCCCATGCTGCCCCTACCCATCCTTCCATGCCAGGATTGGGCCCCAAGCCACCCTGCATGCACAATCCAGCATGCCAGGCCACGCTACCTGGTCCTCGGGGCTCCCTGTAGGTCTGGAAATTTGGCAACAGGGGAGCAAAAACAAATATAACTCTTGGGTTTATGATGCTTGTCTTTCTGCGCCGCAGGAGAGTTATGGCCTGATTGTGCTCACCTACGTGGGGCTGAGCATCTCCGTGCTGTGCCTCTTCTTGGCCATCCAAACCTTCCTCCTGTGCCGCTCGCTGTGGAACGTCAGCACCGCCATCCACCTTCAGCTCTGCCTCTGCCTCTTCCTCGCTGATCTGCTCTTCCTCACTGCCATCACCCACACTGGAAATCGGGTGTGTCCTTAATTTTCAGGACCCGTTTCTCAATGCTGCCTTGTTTCACCTGTGGCAGGGCAGAGCAGGGCAGTGTGGCTCTGGATCCATTTTGTGGCCTCTGGATTCTGGGGCTTAGCAGACTGCAAAGGGTGTCCCAGGAGGAAGTTTCTATTTCCACCCTTATTAAGGCTCCTTTTAAGGTGTATTAAGTGCCCTAAGTTTCCTTAGGTGCTGGAGACTTAGGAGTTCAGTCCACCACTAACCCTACCATTTCCCACAGAAGAACAGGTAGATTATGTGGCTCGTCCAGCATCAGTCTGGAAACCTGTGGCAAAGCTGGGGACAGAGTCCAAATCTCACCTAAACCCCCTCCCATGCTCT